AATTAAATGGGACAATGAATCTAACCAAGACACCGTCCAAAATCTGCCGGGTAGCTTTGCCCTGAGGAAGGGAAGGCTTCCACTTTGGAAGGGTCTTTCGGTACCTAGAAAACAGCTCTTCAAGTTACTGTTTCACAACACAAATGAATTCAGGTAATGGGTAAGGTCCTGTCTCACTCCCCTTCTCTCTGAGTGTTAGACAGTGTCTGTTCAATCTCACTACTCCTCCATCCCCAGTAGCCTAATGTCTGGGCATTCCCTCAGCATATGGAATAAAATGCTGACCCAATTAATCTTGAATTCCAGCCAGCATCTTTAACTCCAAGGTGTCTTCAGCAGCGGGAAAGCCACTAGCAAAAAGCCAACAATATTATACAGTTCCTTTCCCACTCCTGGGATGGCTGGCCGGCCTGGTTGTTGCTCTGCACCGACAGGGGACCCTGGAAGGTGTCTTGGGGAGGCTAGCCCTGTCCCCGGCCCCCACTGTCGATCTGCTGTGTCACGCCATAGACAGCACCGTGCAAGGCCAGACTGGAGGCCTCTCCATCAATGCAGACACCGTGAGAACGGAGATAATCCAGGGGAGCTCCTACTGTCAGCTGCTGACATCCTACAAAGTTTCCTTCAGACTATCAATGCAGATGACAGGGCAAATCCATTCTCCTTCTAATTAAAACAGATGGGAAATAGCGCCCCCCACAGTGGGTTTTCTCACATATTGATACATCTTCTGCTAAACACTCTCTTGCTCTCCAGTCCAGACACATCCAGATACACATGTATGTGGGCACATGTGCATTCCTGCGTGTATATACATACACACACTGCCACTGTCAAAACTCTGAAATTCATTTTCTTTCTTCATTCAGGGCTTCCTCAAAGCAGTAAAACATGACCTTTGGGAGACGACTTCTACCCAAATTTCATCATTTCTGGGTTTTGCGTATTCTGATCCAAGTATTTATACTTTCCAGAGGCCTGCACCTGTCATTCTGTCTAAGGAGTGGACTGACTTCCTCTGTTTTCTTTTTTAATTGTCAAACAATTTAACGAGATTGCAACTCCCCCCACAAAAATTGGAAAACGGAAGGGAAAATATATCTCTCAAAATGCACTATCTTAATACCACAGTGATGAGCATTGTTGTCCATTTTCTTCCAGTACAGTTTGGTAGACTGCTTTCTTTCACTTAGCATTATTTCATAAGGATTTTTCTGTGATACTAAATAATCTTTATAATTATCATTTTAATGTCCTCACTGAGTGAATGCACATCATAATTTACTTAACCGTTTACCTATTGTTAGGCATTTAGTTGCTTCCATTTTTCACTCCTTTTAGCCAGAATGAACATTTTTATATAAGCTATTAATTTAAAGCAGCATGCAGAGATGACTCTCAATTGCTAATCTAAAAATACAAGGTTTAGATATTTACAAATCACATTGCATTATGAAATTTAATTTGAGGGTACTTATGACATTTACATTCCAAACAGCTCTCCCTGTTCTAGCTCTCCCCGAGCCAGACAGGCACAACCATGACACGCCATTTTCACTCCAAGATGCACAGGCCGGAAAGTTCAAAACACAATTTTCTTACACAAACTTTATGAACTCTCCTGCTTTAGAGCCAAGAGGTTAACTTCAAGAAACCAATCCGTGGTTCTCTGAGGTGACCCAGCCAGGGCAAGCCATCATGGAAAATGCCATTTTGGCATCAAGCTGAGTCCAAAACTCATGGCAGCCCTCAGAGAGTCTGTGCTGCAGGGCCACGTGTGTTTCTGGGCCCGGCTGGAGGTTGCATCTGCACCCAGAACTTCCTGGAAACAAGCCAAGGCAATTGCTCAGTTGAGTTCCAGCTATTTGATGTCTTTTGAAGTTTATCATAGGTCACTTTGGGTTACAGATTTCCCTGGGTAGGGGGTGTGGCTTAATGCATGGGACTTAAAGGGATGCAAGGTGTGGACCACAAGCTGTGTGACTCTCAGCACATTATGAAAAATATCCTGAACATCCACTTCTCAACCTGCAGCTTAAGGGTGACAGTGGTGCCTTCCCTGTGAGGCTGTCCTGAGGGTCAAGGAGAAAATGCAGGTGAAGTGCAGAAGGGCAGGCTAGCCGGCATCTCGGTAGGACACAGGATGTAACGTAAGGGCTGAATGCTGCTGTCACACCGTAACTTATGTACATTCATTTGCTGAATGAACGCACAAAGGGATGAAGAATGAACAAGTCTCCTAGAAGGGTCTACATGTCTTGTGGACTGTCTTCTGTAGAATATAGAAGGAAAAGAACTTTCTTTTCATGACAAAATCATTTTCTTAATGGTAACTGCTACCACTGTTCTCCCCAGTAAACAGTAATACCCTGGAAAGATGTATTCACCATCATATGAAAGTAATTCTTAATGTCCAGGAAAATCCCATTCTGAAGCTTTGTGAAATGACAACCAGCCATCAAAAGAAACTCAGCTTCATCTAGAGCCAAAATAAGTCAACTACAAGAATTCCCTGGTGTCTCTCCTATCACAGGGATTAGGACGACTAATTATATCTACTTTTTAAAAAAATTCAGCAGAGGCAAACTAAACTGAGAAAAAATCCTAAGTATTACCATCATTTTTACAAATAAGAAAATGATTTTTATATACTTGGCAACTCCCTGTAAAACAGAAGAGCTAAGAAATTTGTTATTTTGCCACTGGCAATTAATTCTTCTGATTTGTGTTATTAGTTTGATGTTGGGTCCAAGACTCAGAGTATCTTTCCAAACCAACAGACTGATGTAAGGAAACTATTTCAGTGCAGTTCCTGGCAAATCGTAATGATGAATAGCATGGTAGGACAAACTTATTCAGACACCCATTTTTCAGTAGTGGCAGGGAAAAGGCTGAAAAATTACTAGTAAATTGCTTTTTTAAAAAATGCTCTCTCTTTCAAACTTTCCCCAGTATGAAGGTCTTCTGCAAAATGATGGCACAATAGAGTCTGGCGTACCTGGACAACAAAGGCAGTTAGAGAATGAACAGGAGATAAGAGTGAGGATTAAGATTTAATTTTCGTATTATACTTCCACCAGGTCCCTCGTCTCTCCCACACCAGATCGTTTGTGTGCATCTTTTTAACCTATTGGAATACATGTCTCTGAAAAATACCTAACCTCTGCCCCAGGCAGGGACGCTCAGCCCGGCCACCTTCCGGAACCTGGTTCTCCCCAAATGCAGCCAGGATACCCCATGGAGCTTCAGTCCCTTCTCTACATAAATGCCTGTTTTCAAGTTTCAACCACAGAGGTCTCCCGGTACCCTCAGCGCCTAGCACAGCACAAAAGCCAAAGGTGGCTTGTTCTTGGCCTGCTCTAGACTGACCCCCCAGGTGTGATTGCTCCAGATTAATTCTTTCATCAGAGGACACACAGCTGGGTCGGAGGGTGAGGACTGGCCCCCTGCTGGCTCAGCACAGAGCTGGGTCGTTTCCAGATCCGAGCTTTGGAGCAGGCGCGTTCCAGACCCCCGCCATCTGTTCTTGGTCATTTTCCCCCTGCTCATTCCCAAGCCTTACCTTTCCGGACACACTCTAGCCGCCGGAGGAGGAAAGGTCTAGTGCAGCGGTTCCCAGCTGGGACGGTTTGCTCCGGAGCAGCTGGCAATGTCTGGGGCCTCTCCAGCTGTCACCCGGGAGGCAGTGCGGTTTCTGCCTGGTGGATGGTGCCCGGATGCTGCTGAGCATTCTGCACGCATAGGACAGCCCCCGGACAGCATCGCCCGGCCTAACACGCCAGGGGTGCCACGGCTGAGAAACCCTGGGCGAGTCTAAACCAAACCCTGCAGAGATGGTTTTTCTTGTCCTCTAACATGATCACCAGTTCATTGTTCTTTGCATAATTGAGGAAATACTTGGATTTTCTCTCAGCCTTTCATTCGGTAACACAAGTGGAGACCCGCAAAGTGCCAGTACCAAGCTGACCTGAGCTAGAGAGGTCAACTCAATGGAGACCCCAAAGCAGGGAGGGGCAGTTCTAGAACATTCTGACGGAACCTCCAGGCTTCCCCTCCCCTTGGCTGGACCACTTCACCTGCCTGTGGGCCTGCAGTCCTAACTCAGTAAGAACAGGGACATGAGGAGGTATCCTGACCCCGTGTTTGTTGGACACCTGGGGTGACAAAGAACAGCATAGACTCACATCAGGCAGAACAGGATCCTCACTCCTGCTGGGATGTCTGAATCGCTGTGTGACGCTGGACAAGTGACAACCCCTTGTGAACTCCAGTTTCCTCCTTGTAGTGGGGCTGGTGGCACTGAAGGTATCAGGTACAGTCCCTGTGTCCCAGCAATGGCACCCAGCAACCCACTCACTCTGACAGCAGCAGCCACACATCTTGCTGTTCCTATAGCACTGCCTTCTGAAGCAGTGCTCGGGGGTTTCTGTGCTGGGTCCTTAGGCTCCCCCAGGGCAGCCCCAAGGCCTGCCACCAGCTGGACTGGGCACTACGGCCTGGGCCTGTTCTTGTTCCACCTCGCTTTGCCTCGCTGGGCACCGGGGCCCTGCATACCCCCTATGCCAGCCATCTCTTTTCTTCTCAAACACAAGGAGGTAAAAAACAAGCATTAACTCACAAACAACATACTTAACTGCATTTTCTCACTTTAAGTCCAACGCTCAAGAAAGTTTTTCCATGTGCAATAAACAGCTGTGAATCTGCCTAATAAAGTGAAGGCATTTTACCCCACTGGTATTCCCCAAGAGGAATCATTGGCCACCTGCATCTTTTTACTTGCATTTAATAATTCAGCCCAAGATGAATTTGCATGATTAACATAAAGCCTTGTGATTTTATTCTCTTTCAGGATTCAAATACTGAAACAACCACCATTGTTTTCATTTTCAGAGGTTGTGATCAAAACACAAAACTTGATTCTAGAATGAATAATTTCTATAAAAAAAAAAAGCACTTTCAAATGCCACTCTCCATAGAATCAAAGAAAAGAGTTGCTAACACTGCCGTTGTATATGCAGGGAAACCCATGTTCTTTTCCTGGCTGGTGTTAACCCATTAGAAGCGAACCACACCTCAAAGATGAATCCTTCGTGCTATTGCCGCAGCACAGCGTGAGCACGTGGCCCTCTGTCCATGGCATCCACGACAGCTCGCGTGAGGGAGATAGTTCAGGCCCTCCTCTGTGGACTCTCTACATTATCTGCTCAGAACCTAGAATCTCCAGTAAGTCTTACGAGAAAACAGCAATTCTCTTGGATCCCAGTAATAGATTAATCATGCCATCCTCAAAAAACAGTAAAAACCCAAACCGAGTAAGCTGCATGTGGAAAACCATCTGCCTGTGAAGTGGAGACGTGCGCGTGAGACGGTAATTTACAAAACAGAAGAGGGAGCATCGCTGGGTTTCTTGATGGATGTAGTAGAACAGGTTTGTCTAATGGGGAAACATGCATTACTATCAAAAGAAATGAGTGTATCCCACATGGAAAAGCAAGCAGGTTTTAATATCTGAGAAGCATTTCAAGCTGTGCCTGCCAGCAATTCTCCGCCTGTCTGATTTTCCTTAACATCTTAGGCCAGCCTCACCTGTTTATAACTAGGAAGCAGGCAGTAGTGGTTTTGGCTACAAGTTGTGCTGCCTGTGTCTGCGTCTGCGTCTGCGTCTTCATCTCACTGACCCTCTGTTGCTGTTTGCTCTTGCAGGAATCATGGTCAGTAAGGAAACCAGCCAGTGCGTACTCTCAACCTCGGAGAGTGAAGTGGAGCCCGCCGCCTGCCTGGCTCTGGAGATGAAATACGCCCTGGATCCCAACCGGCAGATTAAAAAACGGAATAAAGCCCTGCAGGTGCGCTTTAAGGACATCTGCGAGGCACAGAACGAGCAGAGGGACACGCAACTCCCCGCAGGACACCCAGGCGAGAAGCGGGAGGCCAGGCCTGTGTCCTACAGAGCGGCCTACCGCAAATACATGACAGTGCCCGCGCGGAGGTCCATCCCCAACGTCACCAAGAGCACAGGCGTGCAGACCTCGCCAGACCTCAGAAAGTGCTACCAGACCTTCCCTCTGGACCGCACAAAAGGGAACCTCAAAAGCATCCCAGCCGCAGATGTGTTCCAAAGTCAAAACAGTGGATTTGTAATAGACGTGAAAGAGAGGAGAGAGGAAGAGCCCAGGGAGGGGGCCCAGCTGTGGGCTGCAGGCCGGGTTCAGAAGACAGTGGCCTTGGTTTTCCACTCCGACGAACACGTGAATGCACTGGACCAGCCCACAGGGGTCAACTGTGAAGAGCCGTACAAAATCCGCGATGCTCACAGCTGCCAAGACGCCCCTCGGCCTCCCTCCCTAGAGCCTGATGACCAGCCATACGGGAAAGCAAAGCATGACAGGGCGACGCCGGACTCTGAGGAACCCGCCCCACCAGCCCACGGGAGGGTGTTTAAAACGGAGGTGGCCACTGTTTACACACCGGCCACTGGCGCCAAGACCCCTGAGCCTGCCTCGTCAAACTCGGCCACCACGAGCCAGGGGACTCTCTGCCCGGCAGCCGAGCAGGAACGGAGGAGAGCTGAGCATCTTGATGGGCTCCAGGCACCCCCGGGCTCCTCTGTGGCCTGCTCGCCCCCGGTGCAGTGCCTGTCCCCTGAATGTAGTGAACAGCCCCTGCAGACTCAGGCCCCGCTCGGGGAGGAGGCCCAGCCTTGTCCGAAGGCGGCGGCAGGTGAAGAATGCCAACAAATTGTGCCTCATATGGAAGTGGTCGACCTGAAAGCACAGCTTCAGATGATGGAGAACCTGATCAGCTCCAGCCAAGAAACCATCAAAGTGCTCTTGGGGGTCATTCAGGAGCTGGAAAAAGGAGAGGCCCATCGGGAAGGGTATGTATGCACGCATATTCCTCATGAGGCGCGGCAGGCTCATCACCCCCCGGGTCCATTTGTAGCCCCCAAAGCCCAAGTCCATGGTGAGACTAAAGCCAGCATTTCTGCCAACAGGCTGTTGACGACAGGGCAAGCCCACAGGGGTCACGGGTTGGTTTGTGATGCTAGATTCCACTGCATACACACCTTCCAGATTCACTTGTAGATTAGCATTCATCTGCATGGCATGGAATGCAAATCGTACCTAAGTTCTGAATGACTTGATGGATCTTTGCTTTGTATGTCCTGGGACTAAAGTGTATGATATTGATGAAGCATAATAGGACGCCAGTCCAAAATATCTAATCTAAATAAGAAGCTACTTGCCTCTTAGGAATCATATTATGGAAGAGAAAAGAACTCAAATAGTATTCTGAAAAGTAAGTGCTGACTCATTTGTATTAGATAATTGGAATAACATTTGATATTCAGGACGGTACAATGTCTTATACAATAGACAAAGCTTTTCTTTCCCTACCTAGAACTCACAGAAGCAATGCCTACCCTTAGGTAAGCCCTGTCTGTAGATGATGAGATGTGGCTTTCCTCATGCTTTATCCTGTGTGTTAGGCTGTACAGGGACTGATGCCAGGATAACAGCTCAGACTGTCTAGCATTGATAGCACATTGCTGAACTTTGTTTCCCACCTTTTGGACTTGTAATCGTGGAGCCGCAGATTTAAAAACAAATGACCTAAAGACAGGACGTGAGTCGTGAGCCACTTAGCTAGGAAGGCTTGGGTGGGGCAGGCAGTGTGCTATGCTTATACGGAGAGCCAGCATGGCCCTGGCCCTGTGCCTCTCGAAACAGAGGGAGGCTGTGAGGCCACGCTGACACCCTCCCTGTGGACTCCTGCCCCGGTTAAAGGAGCTGGCAGCCAACGTGAAGGTAAGCGAAGAAATGCACCATCAGGGCAGCAAACCACCAAGGGCCGTTTCGGCAAGAGGACCTTTGTGATTGAGGGGCATGGTGTTTGCATATTGGAAACGCAGGGAGGAAGCGCCCTCTGCGTCCGAGGCAGTGGGAGAGGCGCAGGCCCTGGCCCCACGGCACAGCACCCTGCTGTGGTTCTGTTCTTGGCTTCTGGCTCCTCCAGCTTAGGGCAGGTGGCCCACCTACAGAAAGAGTTGATCCTCAGAGCCCGCCTCCACCTCCTAGTTACACAGTAGTGTTTGCAGATCGGGTATTAAGCAGAAAGAGTTGTAAGCCACTAGCGAATAGTCTTAACAGCAGGTCACTATAACCTGACATCACAGAATGTTTCACAAGGCCATTTTCAGTCTTAGGTTTACATCTCCATTTTCATCCCACTTCAGTCATTTAGACTTGAATATGGAGATATCCAAAAGCAGCCCTCTGTGGGGCTCGACAAGGGATTTGTTTATCAGTAGACCATATTCCCACAGAAAAATGAAAAGCCAGACAGGGACCACTCTGACTGCAATACAGCTGGTAATGACTTAAGCCAGACAGCAAAACAGAAAGATGGTAACATCACTAGTTGCAAAATAAACCAACCAGATGGTAAATGCACATGGTGATGTGCACGCTCACAGGTCGTGGATACAACCTGCGAAGGCCGAATGCCCCGTGAAAGGAGAGCCACGTTACAGATGTAGGCTCCTTCGGAGACCATTAGAACAGGTGTGGATATTACCTTTAAATAGGACCACTGAGTTCTCTGTGCCTCTGTCAGTCTACAAAGTGGTTCTGAGTTTAGTGAGTCATGTCTAGGTGGGAATTCTGGCTCTGAGGCCTTGAGCGAGAGCCGCACCTATTTGTGCCTTGTTTCTGCACCTCTGAGTTGGGCATTACCGCCTGTCCTACAGATGGAGGGTGAGGGTGGTATGGGGTGACCTAATGCATTTAGCCCAGTGCCAGGTCTATCTGAATGGGGTGATGTCCACTGGTGGTGTAAGTACTGGCCTTACTGGTCACAGATTTGGGGTCTAGGGAACCCTCAGTGGCCATCCCCATCTGAGCGTGCACACTAGCAAGTACATTTGGCTTTATACCTCCTGAGTGTGACGAATCTCACCCAATACACTCTCAGCACAGAGGCTGCCACCCCATACTTACTGTTCCCGAAAGCCCTGAGCTGCCCTGAACAATGCAGTGGCCACCAGCTACATGTGGCTATTGAAACTCAAACTCAGATTAATTACAATGAAAAATTCCGTTCTTCAGTCAGGCTGGCAATATTTCAGGAGCTCAATGGCCACAAGTGGCATCCAGCTACTGCCTAGGACAGAGAGCATTTCCATCATCACAAAACTCATTCACCCAGGTCTCCCTAAAACAAGGCACAGCACCTGGCTCATGACCAACAAGGCCAGGGGACCACAGATGGAGGCAAAGGACGACGTTCCTTTAAAATCAATCTCTAGTTCAGTTTCTTGCACAGGACAAGCTTACGGCGGAAAGGCAAGTCCGTACCCTAGTGAACTCCCACAGCTGCTCCTAAGAACCTTCCTTTCCACCTCCCTGTCTGAGCCCTCTGAACTCAGGTAACAGTGAATCAAGTGGTTTCAAACTCCCAAGGACCCCTGAAGGTGGCTTCTTGTACTCAATGCCTGGGATCATTCACTTGGCCCGAACTCAAATTCCCACCACTCTTTTCCAGAATGTAGGAAAGGACAGCAGCTCGAGTCGGGCAGGGAGGAAGCAAGCACCTTCATCCGTTCCCCAGGCGTCTGGGTCCAGCACAGAGCAGGACAGGGGTGTGCTACTGCATCTGAACAGCTGGCGGTGAGGACAGGGAAGTAGCATTTGCTGACTCCATGGTGCAAATGCTGCTCCTTGGCCAATTACAACCAGCTCACAAAATCCTAAAAACTTAACATTCTGCTCCTCTGAGCACCAGACCATCACTGTAAAGGGAGAGTTCACAGGACTCACTTTATGTGCTCAGCCTGAGCTGAGAAACAGGGGTTTTAGCAGAATGGGGAATTCACAGGACTGACTTTACGTACTCAATCTAAGCCAGGACATAGATGTTACTGCTGTATATCACAACATGTTTCAAGACCAAGGTAAAATCCCAGTGGAGTTTCTCTTGGAAAATATTCTGGAGCTTGTGTCCTGAACAACGGAGAATGCTCAGAATTCTCTGCCCCCTCTCTCCACCCCCAATCAAGCAGGAGGGGGCTGCTTTGCATAGCATTTTACCTGAGTTAGGAGGAGTCTTAGTGAGGGCAGGCACTGCATGCATTGTGGAATCCTTGACCTTGAATCCCAATGACAGATTTGGCACCCAAATCCACATCTCACTGCAGGCTGGAGCCAGGCCTGGTGAGGCCACGGGCTTGCTCTCGTGTGTGTTGTAAGGACAGAGCTAAGGAAGAAAATGCTCTTTCAACTTGGCTAGTGGCCATAGGCCAAACTGAGGCCTATTGAGTGTATAACTCTTTAACAGGACTTCTGTACACTACTGAGTTGGTGTATGTAAACTCACTAGTGAGTTTGAGCAAACTGCATTATGGAGTCGGCCGGGCAGGCTCTCTACAGCGGTCCTTACTCCGTGCATAAACATGTCTGTGCCACCAGCCATGACCACTTTCAGCAGCTTCTAAATCATGTTCATAAGAGACTCTGTCATTAATCTCATTTGCTTATGTAGATTTTCCAAAGGCATCAGCAGACAAAGTTTCCAGCTTAAGCAAGTTACTTAATCTCAGTGAGCTTCAATTTTGTCTTCTGTCAAATAGGAAGAACAAAAGCATAAAGACAGTGTCTGCAAAACTCCCGCAGTAACCAGCACACAGTGGGACATGGAATGGAGGACATACCCCAATGTGAGCATTTCAGTAGGACACATCCCCTAAGAGGATAGATGTGCAAAAATAATTCAAAATCGTGCTGCTTGGTCTCTTGTAAAATGCTCAGGCAGGTCACTCAAATTGCTTACTTCACGTGGTGCAGGCAGCGTTTGATCGCTCTGCTGGGATAAATGTCAAGAAATACCCTGCTTATTTCAGAGCTCACAGTATGATTCTTGCCTCTTCCCGGGAAGTCCAGGGTCACACCGTCTCCCTCAGTGAGCCACTAATGCAGTCACTGAAGGCTGAGAACCAGGCAAATGGGGCACTGAGTTTAAAAACCCAACCAATTTGTCTAGCAGTCCTAATTCCCCAGAGCAGCCATAGGTTGCTGGGCAGGAGACCCTGTGACCCACAGGCCGTGGCGTTCCTAGTACACACTCACCTGCAACTGTGACTCGGCACTGGGGCAGGGAGGTAGCTGGCTCACATCTAAGACTCTGCACCTCACACATTTAGTGTCTTGATGGGCTCATTGGCTGGTGACAGCGTAATAATACTCTGCTATTCGGAGAAGACGTGAGAACAGTGTGAGATGCTTTATTCGAGCTGTCAAGCACAAGAGCAGGGTCTGGATTCTTTCACTGGTCAGGCCCCTCCCAGCACCATCTGGGTGTTACCTGCTGGGTGTGGGCGGAGGGGAACACAGCAGAACCCAGGCCATGCTGGGCCCTTCATATCACAGGCAGAAAGGAAATCATGAAGCCCCAGGGGCCTTGCAGTGGTACCAAGTCAGAGCAAATGTGAGATAAATCACTTAAAAGAAAATCCTAAATTACAAACCAACCCAAGTAGCCCAGTAGGGGGCAGGAAGAGTTGTAAATCCAGGGACCAATTGTCCCCTGTCAGTCCCTGTCTTCCCCTCAGGGGGTCCTACCCATTCCCACGGAGGAAAAGTGTCTTTCTCTGTGTTGTGAGGTCCAGGCACACAGTGATACCAAAGAAAAAGGAACTAAGGGAATCCCTGGAGATCAGGGGCTCTTTGAGGACAGTGTTCATAGTGGCTTTGAAGACAGACATGGGAATAAAAGATCTGAGAGTCAGAAGAAGCCACTGCAAACCAGCGTGGGTCCTGTACTGAGGTTTGACACACTGCCTTTTCCTTTAAATTACTGAAAAATGGCGACAGCCAGAGCAGG